AATTTCAAAACAATAACAATAATGCGTCAAATATGTCAATTTCGGATGAACTCGTGTGACATTTCTCAATTATTTTAGTATGGCAACAAAAAAGTTGAGCGAATGTGTTCATTCGCCAGTCACAATATGAACATGGCGAGTTTTCGCCTAAAACATTTGACTCGCCAATGCATTCGCTTCGCCAGTGACAATACCAGCATAAATAAATTTGTGAAATTTAAAGATATTTGATGAAATGTTTTGTAATTTGAAGCAGCATTATAGTATTATCTTCAATGGAAAATTATTAAAAACATTTAATGATTGAGAGCTAACAAGTTTAAATCCATTTATTGGATATTCAAAGGTCAAAAGTCAGTTGTTCTAATATACTTTAAAAAGATTTAAATAGTTTCTCCATATAATAAATAAATAAATGTTGGGTGTTTTCATTTAAAATGCCCAAAAATTCTTATTTTGTTCGATCTGGCCATAATGGAAAATGTTATTCCTGGCAGGGGCAGGGCAGCACTTGAGCTACATATAAATTTTAAATTTTGATGATCAACACTTTAAAAGATATTAAGTAATGCAAGTGTTTACGTTATTTAAGTGATTATATTGAATTACTTTGAATATCTGTTCAATTTTATTGGGATATTACTTGTTTTTTAATGTTAAATCAGTTGTTTTTTTTTTGGGCAATTTTTAAACACGCTTAAAATATTTCTAAATTTTTGCATGCGGTAGGATACAATCCTGGGTGGTAATTTGTCGTTTGACATATGTATACAAATTGACAATTCGTTAGCCGTTATAGGAAAACATCAATTGGAAATAGATTTTAAAAAAGAAAGATATGTTGAAGTTTTTGTTGTTGTTGTTGTAACAGCAGAATTCTGCCGAGTTGACAGTCCTTGGCCGGATAAAAATCCGAGTTGAAGTTTTTAATAAGAATACATATTAGTGTTATTAATAAAGTTTATGTTAAAACCCATATAAGTGTAAGGAACCGAACACCTAAAAAAAAGCCGGTAACGCATCTTATTGCAAACCTTAGGGGTGGTATGGAAAATGCAAAACTTAAAGATTCAAAAATAAATTTTTTAAAATATTTATAATGTTAAAATTCGTTGGAATAAAGAGTATATGAGAAAGACATATGCCAATACATTCAATAATCTGAAAATAATTATATGTGTACATTTATATGCTTTCACATACTTATAAAGAAGTAGATATTGTACCGTTTCTATCAGTTTTATCGTAAATAGTATACGGATGAAAATTAAAACGATGTATTAAAAATCCAGCTTCAAATGCCTCAATATTTTTCTTTCTTCTTATTTCCAGATTAAAATTCAAAAAGTTACGAATACAAACGGTTTTATTTTTTCTATCTCCTAATTGTAAACAAATACATTCAGAAGGAAACTCACCACCGAGAAATCTAAGGACAAGGCTGCATTTCATTAATAAGAACTTACTATATAAGGAATATCTGACTATCAGTAAATGATATTTTAATGGGCGAAGCATGACACACTATGGCGTTTAAATCAAATATTAGTAAATATATGTCATTAATAAATAATTTCCTTTTATATTTAGCAACAATATTTATAGCTTTTGTTATTTATTAGAATTGCTACCTCTGAACATCCAAGATGGCCGCTGTTCACCCCTCAGAAAGCTACCACGAAAAGGTTATCTACTGTATATACTGTGCTTCCAGTGAGAGACACTGCCGCAGTGATTTCAAAACGAACACACCCTTATTATGTATCCATTATTATTAATAAAGCGAATTAAGTTGACGATAATCCTCGTAAACCTTTCTTACCAGCCATCCATAGATGTTCTAAATAGGACTTACATCAGAAGAATAAGCTGTCCATTCTAAAGAATCGATATTTTTACGTTGAAGCAACGCTTTCGTTGACCTGGGCCCTATTCCACAAATCAACTTATCAACTTTTCACTTTGTACTTTGCAAATTTTTCGTCAATTTGCAAAGCTTTCTGTTCCACAGAACTATGAAATTTGATAAGTGATAAGTTGAACTTGATAAGTGCAATTTGCAATTTTTATGTTCTCTTTGTAATTTCTGTTCCACGTACGTTCTCTTGTGCAAAGCTTATATTGAAAAGTGTAATTCGCAAAGACTTTGCATATAATTATACTGTTCCGTTCCACAAAAACTGTAAACTCTATTTTAGCAAAGCAAAATTTGATAAGTTTGTCAAAAATTTGCAAGGTAAATGATCGCTTTGCAAATTCATATTATCATAACTAGTCAAGCTTTCAAAATGTTAAGACGTGAGTTTTTGTTCGACAATAGTGAAGACGCGGTTAAAGCTAGAAATTATAGAGACCGAATTAATTTTTCGGGACTGCAAAATTTCAATTTTAAAGAGTGCTTCCGTTTAATTCCGTTTAAATCTGTTGAATTCTGAATACAACTCTGCAAACCAATCCTGTACTCTTATACTATACATATGTACATAACTTGTCTATGTACTATAGAACAGTAAATTAGATCATACGATTGTTACAAAAACGGCGGTCTGAATAAATGCGTTAATAATATCAGTCACGAGTTTTTCTTTCTCTGCGCGAAAACTGTTANAAACCAATCCTGTACTCTTATACTATACATATGTACATAACTTGTCTATGTACTATAGAACAGTAAATTAGATCATACGATTGTTACAAAAACGGCGGTCTGAATAAATGCGTTAATAATATCAGTCACGAGTTTTTCTTTCTCTGCGCGAAAACTGTTACAAAATCCAATCCAATATTTTCTTTTAAATAATGTTGGACAAAAATTAGAGCACAATACACAGCGCAGTTATGCTTTGTCGGCTGAAAATCAGCTGCTACTGTGCCTGCATTGGCTCGGAAATGGTTGCCAGTACCATGGAGTCGCAGCTTTGCATGGTGTAGCAAAATTCACAGTTTTCAGAACCATTCATAGAGTTGTCGACATTATAATAGACGTTTTATTTCAAAAAACAGTGCGATGGCCCGATGATGTCAGTGGTATTGCAGAAAAGTTTTTTTCTGATGAGTGGATTCCCTTCTGTGTGTGGTTGCATTGATGGCACAATCATTAAAATTGATGCACCTCCATTACACGAGGAAGGATATGTTAACCGGCATGGAAACCACTCATTGAATGTGATGATGATATGTGGGCCAGACTACACATTTTACAGTGTAAATGCAAGTTGGCAAGGGTGTTTTACTTAATTCGGCTGTAAGTCAAAGATTTGACAATGGATGGAGACCATTTCCGGATGCTGGTTGATACCACCATTACGCCGAAATCCCAATAATCCTGCTGAAGAAGTTTTCAATCGTTGTCACAAAAAAGCACGCCGCATAATTGAAAATAGTTTTGGCATTCTTAAAGAAAGATTCCCGTGTCTAAATTATTTGCGACTAAGGCCTGAGTTTGCAGGAAAGACAGTCATAGTTTGTGCCATCTTACGAAATATTGCCTGTAGCATCGGAAGGAGTAGTGAAAATATGCAACCCACTGAAGACACTGACAATGAAAGCGAGGAATTGGATGAAAATGCTGAAGAAGAAAATGATGCCCTTAATAATATAGATCAAGAGAGTGGAATGGAAAGGGTTACTTCCCTGCTACAATACTTTACCTAATGCCAACTATTATAGTATTGTTTTAAAATAAAATTGGTGTTTTGCCCATGACCTTTTTCCACTGCAAAAGCGTTGTATCTTTTTGGGGCATTTTGAGGGTTCGAGATTAAGGTCTCAGAGAATAAATAATAAAGGAAGTAGTTTTGTATTTATTTACATCATTTTATTAATTTCAGAGCTTTTTTGTTTTTATCACAAATTATTTCAAAATAAAATGTTTAGAAATCAAATACACACAGAGGAAAATTAGCCTTTGGTAATCAAACCTCCTCAAATAACAGACGCGATACATTTTCTGTTTCTGCCGTTGCAATTCCTAGTGTGATGGCAGAGGGTGGAAGTAGGAGCTCCCTCTCCAGTTTTAGGCATTGAAGTTTCCGGTAGTAAACCTCAACCTCAAGGAGCTCCATCCGGCATTTTTGCTCTCTATCCAAAGTTTCACTTTGAAACTTGGTAGAGCGCTTCCTCTTTCTTGGGTTTAGAGGTGATTTGGCAATTGTTTCTTCTGAAATAGATATTCTGGAATCATTCTGAGCTGACGGTAGGTTTTCTGAGTTGCCATAACTTTCTGGCAAATTCAAACCATCTACCACAGCTGAATCTGATTCCAGAATATCGAGGATGGCCAAGTCAGCTTCATCCATTACTTTGTCCTTCCCACCTCCGGATCCAGTATTTCGGGCGTTATCCCTTTTACTCTGCAAATTAACAAAATTAAATTCAACAAAATACAAAAAGTTTCTCGTGAAAAACCGGAAGCTCGATTTTGATTTTAAAGCCATGGTTTCTTGGGCAAATTTTCTTAGAATTCATCGTAGCTTACGATTTTGATAACCGCTTGGCGAAAAAAATTTACCCACTCTAGTACACATAACAATTAGTAATATTTTGGTTAAACCGGTTGTTATCAGCAAGAGTTGTTGATTGAGTGCACTGTTAACTCACAACAACAATGTCTATGATGGCGTTTTTTTTGTTGTCAACAACATGCTTGTTAGTTATTAGCAATGCACAATACAAGATTTCCAACAACAACAAATGATGCAAATATAATTATTTGCTATGTGTAGGCAATAAATTGTTATACTTACCATTGTCCGGCTCTTCCAGAGTCCAAACAAACTGTCCCTTGCATAGGTCCATGTTTTTTGTGCTGACGCCAGTTGTAGGGATTGGGCTTTTTTTAATACATCCTCCCATGCTGCCTGTTTATCTAATTTGTTAACCTTCACAAAGAAATGTATATGCTTGAAATTTACAATTATTTATTTAAAAAATACTTACTCTGTTGTTTTGAAAACTAGCAAATAAAATGCTTTTTTTTTTGCTTTTATTACATTTAAAACAGCAAGTTTTTTTTCAATTTGTATTTTGCGGCTCATTTTAACAATTCATATAAAGCAATGCAAAGTGAAAAGTGATGAGACAGAAATGCAAAGTTGATAAAACGCTTTGTGGAACACTTTGCAAACTCACTTTGCAAGAGAGTGCAAAGACTTTGCCAATAAAGCGCAAAGTCTTTGCACTGAGCGGAAAGAGCGTAAAGTCTTTGCCAAAATATGCTCAATGCAAAGTGAGATTCGCAAAGAATATTGTGGAACAGAAACGCTTTTCACTTTGCAGTACAATATCAATTGATAAGTGCAAAGTGAAAAGTTGATAAGTTGTTTTGTGGAATAGGGCCCTGCTCGTATGCATTCCTGCGTTGTCTTGTTAAAAAGATAAAGATTTTTGCGGATGATTGTGTATAAAGGGTAGCAAGAAGGATATGTCAACGGTACTGTCCTAGAATTTGACAATGCGTGCAATATCAGAAATGAGTCACCGCCGAAATTGCGCCTTGTATAATATCTATGTTCTTTTCGAACTTTTTCTCATTGGAAAAAATCACCTGGGACTAATGGTAAAGTTTTTTGGTAAGCGCATTGTCGGCTTTGCCGCAACTGTATTATTCTAAATTTTACTTTTCTTAATCTTATCTGATGCCACTTTATTCATGTGATATCGGGCAAAACTGAGACGAGAGACCTTATGGTGTGGTTTCAAGAGAGACGTTTTCTGCATTTGCTTATTTACAATGTTAGGATCTCGTTTCACCACACGACAAACTATTGAAACAGATGCACAAATTTTGTACTCTCTTTTAACTTTCCTTATTGACGTCGTTTTATTGGATAACTGTCAGAAAAAGTTCTCTGGCCGTAATTTTCTTTGTTATTCAGGTAATTACAAAGCAATGTTACCGACAAATTCCGAGCAATGGCGCGATTGGTCAAAGCCAAAATATGCTTTCATTACACAGTACAACAGCTAATCTGGGGGATGAGAAATTCCAAGCTAGGGTGATGGTACTAGGTCAGTATAGTAAAACCCTCAAAGGGTTTGCGTTCGTATGTATCAGTTTTTTTTATGACCTTATGACCCCTTTTTTCCTTATCTTGATGTTTTTTCGCTTAGTTGTAAACTAAGGAATTTCTCACCCCAAGACAATAATCCCAAAAATGTTTCACAGTGTTATAACTATAACTGGCACTGATCGAAATGTCTTTATAGGAATGAAACACATTTTTCAGACGATTCTGCTTAGTACCTACAATAGTAGGAAAAGTACCGTTAAAAAAAAGCATGTTTTTATAGGATTGTACCATAGAGCTTTAAAATAACATCACTCGTTTTTGGAATGTGAACATATTTTTTCTGTAAATATCTGAAACAAAGTGTATATCTTTATATAATATGTATATAAAAATTACGTGTCAAGTTGTATGTTCGCAATTTTAGTAAAATTTAGCACACTGTGTCCAGTTCGAACCAACTTAGAAGATAGGATACTAAAAGAAATTCATAAATAAAAATTACAGTGATAGCTCTATTAAATGGACGCTCTATTAAGCTAGCTCCTTTATCTGTGAACATTATTGATGTTTTTAAGTTCTATTTAACGGACAACTCTATTAACTGGAAAGAAATGCTGGCAACAAGACCTTGAGAAAGAAGTCTTAAATTCGTATTTGTATAAACATATTCAGAATTAAACCTCAAAACAACGACAATGATTGAATAGTTCATTATATGAATATCACAGCATCGCTTGGCCGAATCCACTAGCTAGTACTTACATATGTATTGAAGTGTAGTACACTTAATTTTTGATAATGCATACGGTACTACAAATACAATATATTATTTATTTTGCATATTTATACCTATTCTTGAATTCCTTTATTATATGGATTTTAATAACATATTAATTTTTTTTTTTTAATTCAGAGCGGACATTAGTTTTGGCCGGAATAATAATTTGTCACTGCGTCTTCCACTTGATCACTCAATCAGAGATACGGACTACTTTAGGACTTTTACAACTGACTGTCTCATCAAATTAACACCTGTTGCGCAGCCCATAATTATATATGTGTATATATGTAAAGGTAATAAATAATGTATGTAATAAGTTATTAATATTTATTTACATGGTAAAGATAACAAACCGCTAACTAAATTAAATATCTAACTGAAAAAGCCAGGTCCTTCTCCACTTGGTCCTTCCAACGGAGTGGAGGTCTTCCACTTCCTCTGCTTCCCACGGCGTGTACAGCGTCGAATACYTTCAGAGCTGGAGTGTTTTCGTCCATYCGRACAACATGACCTAGCCAGCGTAGCCGCTGTCTTTTAATTCGCTKAACTATGTCAATGTCGTCGTAYATCWCGTACAGCTCATCGTTCCATCGAATGCGATATTCGCCGTGGCCAACGCGCAAAGGACCATAAATCTTTCGCAGAACTTTTCTCTCGAAAACTCGCAACGGCGACTCATCCGTTGTTGACATCGTCCAAGCCTCTGCACCATATAGCAGGACGGGAATTATGAGTGATTTATAGAGTTTGGATTTTGTTTGTCGAGAGAGGACTTTGCTTCTCAATTGCCTGCTCAGTCGGAAGTAGCACCTGTTGGCAAGGGTTATTCTGCGTTGGATTTCTAACGAAATTATCTACAACTTCAAAGTTATGACTGTCAACGGTGACGTGAGTGCCAAGTCGCGAGTGCGAGGACTGTTTGTTTGATGACAGAAGACATTTCATCATGCCACCATTCCCACCATACCCATTTGCTTTGATTCCTTTTTTAATCTGAAAAAAGCCGAATTCACGGCTCGGATGTTGAGGCCTATGATATCGATATTATCAGAATAAGCCATCCGCAGTACACTTTAATAGAAGATTGTGAATGCTCGATTAAGTTCTGCATATTGAAGAATTCGCACAGTAGGGAGTCGCCTTGTCTGAAACCTCGTTTGGTATCGAACGGCTCAGTTCACACAGCCGTATTATGCGATATGGAGAAAGTTATCCCACCATAGTTGGCACAGATTGTGGGGTCTCCCTTTTTGTGGATATGGGCAGACCACACTTAAACTGCACTCACTGGGCATGCTTTCGTCCGATCATCTTCAAACGGGTAATTGCTATTCAAACTTTTTCATGGTCAGGCCATGGAACATCTGTTCCAGCGTTATCGATTGGGGATTCGGGATCGGGTTCGGCTTTTTGTTGTACTGTCACTGCCGTTCAGCAGGCTAGAGAAGTGTTCCTTCCATAATTTTAGTGTGCACTGGGCATCAGTTACTAGATCGCCTTTGCTTCGGTTTTGAAACATTCTGTTGGTCGCTGTATTTTTTCGTAGAATTTTCGAGCATTACCCCTTGTCGGCCAGCTTGTCAAACTCTGCATACTCACGCATTTCGGCCTCTTTCTTTTTCTGTCTGCAAATGTGTCTCGCTTCCTTCTTCGAGTCTGGTTGGTGGCTTTTCGATTCGGAAACAGCCAGGTAACTTGATGTGTTTTCTCATGTTGTTGTTGTTGTAACGGCAGAAATTATGATTGAATTGAATTGAGTTTTCTCATGCTGGAATCTAGTACTACAGATGACCATATTTCGGGCCCCGACGAAGTCGATCAGCCTCAACCCATTTGGGGATGTTTCCTCATTAAGGCTTAATTTACCGACTGTTGTGCCAAAAATGCCTTCCTTGCCCACCCTGGCGTTAAAGTCGCCAAGCCCGATTTTTAATACCAGTACTCGGCGACGGAGTCTCTCTCCCACTATGAATCCCACACCAAATTTGCCCACCTTTATATGGCCACTGTAGTAAATACTTCAAAGGACCTACTCGCCTCAGTCCTTGACCCGTCCATCAGATTTCGCGGTAGTCGGTGATGTCAGCCGTTACCTCTACCGAGGACATCATCTAGCTGGGCAGCGACACCTTCCTAATTAAGGGATCGGACATTCCCGGTGCATACCCTTAAATTATATTTGCTTACATATGGCTCAAGCAGTCTCACAACTTCCGGTTTTGGACCAAGTATCCTCTGGGTAGCTAGAAACCATCCGTTTGAAGGCGAGCTAAAGTGAGAACGCGAAACATCCCCTCCACAGGGTTGTACGCTGGGTTTAGGATTTGGGACCCACCACGTAAAAAAGACTACCAATGGAAAAAAGATATATATAGGTAAATATTTTAATTAACAGTACTTTAACCTCGTTTATAAACTAAGGACAACATTTACATAAAATACGAAATGTATTCATGTGGCATTACACCTCGCCGAGGATAAAAAGTATGAGAAACAGAATAATTCGCTAAGTTTGTTATATCACTAGTGTAAATATCAGCAAAACGAAAAAGACGTCGTGAAAAATACGTTGGATTGTGATATGTCCGAAAAACACTGCCAAACTGCTTGTTGAAAACCATTTTGGTTTGGTTCCTATAAAATTAATTCTATATTTGCCAAGTACCTTGGTAAAATACTGTCATAATTATTCAAAAATTCGTACCTAAGCATATCCCGTTCCGATTGCCATTTTTCTAAACAAATTTTTGCAGGTTCACATTCATAATCCTGAATTTCTTCTATGAGATGTGTTAGCATTTGTAGCCAATTTGCATTTCGTTTGAAATTAACATTGTTAAGAGTTTCAATCTCGTGCTATTTAAAAGGAGTATGGACAAATCTCAAAAATAAGAATGATACAGAAAAATATATATTTTATACCGTGAGTTCATTTATAATTGCACCAGTTCTCCAACCATGCTCTAATGTTACATCAGCTAAATCACTATAGGGATGATCACCAAAATATAGTACATTATGACCACGCCACCCTGTTAAATCTTGCAGTTGTTTTACGGTTCCCTGAAAAGGAAACTCTTATGAATTTATTTTTTAATAATTGCCATATTACCTCATAATATATTTTTCCCTTTTCCAATTTTGAAACCCGATCCCAAACATGTGAATTGGTTGTTTCATCATATAATCGGATGGGACGTGAATCATCTGTGAAAAATTTAGGTTTTCGTGCTTGAACTATTATAACGTCAAAATGTTCGCGCCACTTGTCACCGACCAATAAAGCCATCCCACAATTCCTGTTCACAAAAACAAATTTAATAATGCATTTGGTTATACTATACAATGCTTACACAAAAGAAAATGGACTATTTGTTACAAGAAATAGTTTTTTGCCCGCATTTGCCAACTTTTTAAAATATTCAGGTAACCGAGAATTTTTCTCAATATAATCTCCTACATTTTTCATAACGATTTCGTGCATAATCGGATGACAAGATTGCACTGATGATTTTATGTCATGAAATAGAATTTCGGGATTGTAGTCGATATGATTTCTTTCAAAATACTCGGCTACATTGCATAAAAGACACATTTCGGGAACAGAGAACAAGTCAGCTAGCTGAACCATTTTCGCCTTGGCATTTGGCTTAAAATCATATAAAACAAAATGGGGATTTATATGTTTAGATATACTTAATTCTAGACTTAACTACCTGGTGGTTTTTTGATTGGCCCTCAACATATGCGATGGGTAAAATTCGATTTCTATAAAGCTTTAGTACTTCTGAATCAGGGATTTTTGTGAGTCCACGATAAACAGACTCCAACTGTATTTGAAGAAACGAGTCTAGCTTTAAAAGCAAACCTTTTTCAATATCATAATGAAGGCCACGCACTGCAAACCGTGGAATGTACTCCAATTTAGAAATATTTTCGGGATACTGAAATAGTACTATTATATTTACATACCCATACAAATGCGAAGAAGTAGTTTAGTAATAATACGTACCTTAAATTTTTGAATTAATCTATCGCGGCCCAAATTGTATAGCAAATCGTGTAAGCAAGGTTTATAGCACGCGAGCGTGTAGTCGTAGTCGAAACCATACACATCAACTTCCTCCAAATCCAGTTCATTGTTGGCAAATACACCACAGGGATTAACATCCTTCGGAAGTTTCTTAGCTGTAAAAAATTTGTAAACATTCTAAATATGTATAGGTATATTATGACATTATAGACATACAGAGGTGGCAGACTAATTAGTTCATGCTCCCATATGACTAAAATTAACAGAACAAATAAAAATATCGGGAAGAATTGAAGTATAGCTATACAGCAACACTTCTTAAATAATCTTCAATAAAATCAGTAATAATAAAAATATACATAATAGAAGCATAAGGCCGGCCAATTCAGCAATGGAATTGCTTGATTTTGAAGCCACTGAATCACAGACCTTGAGTTATGGCTGGGCGCATTGTTCTGTTGGACAACTGCGGGGGTGTATACAAATAACGGTAAGTTCCAAAAACAGTACGAGATGATTTTCAAGTAAGTTCTGGTAAGCTACTGAATCTAGCTTGCCCGTTATCTGCACTATAGCACCAACACCATACTTCGTAAAGCAAGACCGCACCATAACAGCCCTAACAGACGACAGCGATAATTTGCATTAACGAGCTTAATTTACATTTACTTGAGCATTTGACGCGACAGTGCTAATTTACATTCTTCTTCGGCTGGGGCCTAGTAGCCAGTGCTGCGATTTCATGTATTTATATAATAAATATTTTATTGTATAAATGATTATAAAATAAAAATAAAATAAATAAAAACATTCTTCTTCTTAATTGGCGTAGACACCGCTTACGCGATTATAGCCGAGTTAGCAACAGCGCCCCAGTCGTTTCTTCTTTTCGCTACGTGGCGCCAATTAATCTTTTAATTCGCTGAACTATGTCTGTGTCGATTCCCCTTCCACGGGTCATTCACACAATACGCTCGATAGAACCTTATATGCGATGTTGAGGAGGCTTATCCCACTTTAGTTGGCAAGAATTGGGCATAGCACACTTAAATTCCAATCGTTGGGCATGCTTTCGTCCGACCATATTTTACAAGGAAGCTGATGCATGCTCCTTGTCAGTTCTTCACCGCCGTGTTTGAATAACTCGTCCGGCAATCCATCGGCCTCCGCCGGTTTGTTGTTCTTAAGGTGGGTAATTGCTATTCGAACTTCTTCATGGTAGGGCAATGGAACTTTTGCTCCATTGTCCTCGATTGGGGAATCGGGTTCGTCTTCTCCTGGCGTATTGCGTTCACTGGCATTCAGCAGGCTGGAGAAGTGTTCCCTCCATAATTTAAGTATGCTCTGGGCATCGGTGATTAGATCACCTTTTGGGGGTTCTACAAGAGTATGCTCCGGTCTTGAAACCTTCTGTAAGCCGCCGCATTTTTCGTAGAATTTTCGAGCATTACCCCTGACGGCCGGCCATATTTTCAATATTATTAACTTTTTCGCACAATTTTTTCGCATTACAATCAATTATTGCTTTTAATTTCGCGCTATTATCCTTGAACGTAGTTAATAATAAACGTATTTTTTCGTTAAATTTATATTGATTTTCCAAAAGTACAGAAATTTCTGTTAATAACTTCTCTTATTCATTTTTATTTCACTTATTTTTTTAATAAATAAACAATTTTCACAATCAGCTGTCTAAATGCTCAATTCTGCCGTTTGTCACCATAAAATATTAATGCGCATTATCTTTGCTCGTCTGTCAAGGCTATACGTTACACTATTTGTAACTCCAGAACGGCTGAACCGATTTGGCTGAAAATTGGTAGGAAGGTAGCTAAGAACAAGGGGAGGAACATAGCATACTTTTTATCTCCTTATGTTTAAAGTCAATACAAATCATAAATAAAAAAATTATATTACTTCAAAAAAAAAAAAATTATAATAATAAATAAGTAAAAAAATAGAACAGCACAGAGCTTAGTTATAATGACTGTTCCTCTTGAAAAAGGCTGCTTGTTTAGGAGAAACCCGTCAGAAATTTTTAATATCACACAAAAAATGGCTGATGTCAAGGCATTGAGGCTACTTTACCAGATTATGGGCGAAGGAGGGAAATGCATTCATATCAAACTAAACGCGACACCAAACATAACAAAAACTATCCGAACAACAAGTGTTGATAAAAAGGACTATCATAATTTGAGTTGCACAGATCTTTGCAATACTTAAACGGAAACGATGAAGTAAATGCTTGCAATTTCAAACAGATCCTTCCTCAAAAATAATACAATTGTTAAATTTTGGGAATGATAGAATGTACCAAATACGCAGTGCAAATAACTAGCTCAGTAATCACTAAATTAATACTATATCACCTGCATGCCAAAAGACTGATGCTACAACCTTGCCAACCGACTTCTTCGTCTTTACACGCTTGAGACCCGGTTCATAATATGTAGTCCACAAGGCTGACTTTCACAAGGCTGAATTTACGATTTGAGAGCACTCAAACACTCCACATAATCAGTTTTTCGTTGTTTCTATTGGATTATAAACTCACGCGGCATCCACTTTGCATAGAACTTTCGCCTCTTTAAGGGCCTCCACTGCCTTCAATGTCCTCGGTGTGCATTTCGCCTCTTTCCAACTTAGCAAATCTCTTTTCAACGAATGATTTCCCTGGTGCAAAACCCACATTCAACATTAGGGGGATTCTCTTGCTCTTGCTAATCCCCCGCATGGTGAGCGATTTGGCTGTCATTTTACATAAAGGCATATTTCGGCATTAAATTGTTGAGGAAGGTAAGTTTTAAATAGATTTTATACAGTTTGTAAGAATGAATGCAGAAGTTTCGCAAATTCACAATAATAATGCACAATACTAATTCTCAATAAATTGACCAAATAAGCCGTTCATATATCACTATATTCTGCAATGGGTGCTCTCTTGGCCGTGGATATTTCGGTGTAGGATTTTTGCATTTCGTGTCATCGTGCAATCTTACAACACCAAGGGAATCCCCCTATTATTTTTCAACAGTATTTTCCCCCTAAATCTCAGCGCTTTATTACCACACGAAGTGCTTTGTAAATTAACACAAGTTGCTTCACCCAAATATATTATCCTATATACCTATCTTTTAAAGGTACGATCTGTATAGAAATTGGAAATTGACTGAGACACAATGATCCAGATCAATAACAAATAATATTACAAACTGTAACTTATGCACTTTATATGTTCTAAAAAAAAGCTAAATGCAGAGTGGATACTGAATTAAAGGCTGATGAATGCGAATAGGCTTCAGAAGTGTTGTTCGGCGCCGATTCGTGTTGAAACGGCGATTACATTTAAAAAATTTTTAGCACAAATATGGATATTAATAGGTATAACCTTAAGTGTAATTTTTTCCCGCGCTGTTCTATGGGATAAAAATTAATAATAGTTATCACAATAGCGGAATTTGGAAATGTGTAGCAAGTGAAATGAACTTTCAGAAAAAATATTAATTCAATTTATTCTAGTTTATTTTGGCATATTACACGTTGAATGCATTTCCTTGCTCTTTAAAGTTGCTCTTTTAACCCTTCTGTTATGTTAATAAAAAGTTGCACATGTGATGTTAAGGTCACGGCATGACCTGGTCGGAGTTTTGTAAGAGTATCCTATAAAAACCTTATAATTTTAGTTGTTTTCTAATATTCCTTAATTTTACTGACTACAAATTGAGTTTGATTTTAACATTTCATAGTTTTATTTATTATAAATTTATTTTGTTATTAACATTTTTTAGATTTTTTGATTATTTCCGACAACTTCTTGGGATGGTTTTCAATAATGTTTTTGTTATGAGTACAATACAGTAACTACTATAACTTTTTAAGAATGTATTGTACAATGGTGACTTGTCCATAAAAGAAGAAACGACCGCTTGGTACTGCTAGTCGTTGTTGTTGTTGTTATAACGATTATCAGTCCCCGTTGAGATGGTGAGGGTTATCAGTGTTGTCGTCGATGTTATCTAACGGGAGGCCCAGGAAACATGCTGTTTCGAAGGGGTCGGACCAAAGGGAAAGGGGTGTTAGATGGGTGGGGTTGGTTGGGCATGCAAAGAGGTGGYCAGTGTCATGCGGAGACTCGTTGCATGCAGGAGATTCGTTGGGTATGTTAGGGTCTATTCTGGATAAGTAGGAATTTAGCCTGCTACAATATCCAGAACGAAGTTGCGCAAGGGTCACTCGCGTTTCTCGCGGCAACTCGAGCTCTTCGTCTGCTATGGATGGTGATTTGACTCCAAGTACGCCATTCACGGAGAGGGAGTCGGTGAAGGTGTTGGTGGCTCCACTGTGAATGGTGGTCAGTGCCTGTCGGAAGTCTGTTGCGTCCGAGGTCCTGTCGGCGTATTGTTCGATGTCGTCGACGTGGTCAAGGAATGACCTCTTGATGCTCCTAGGAGGCGGTTCCGCTCCAAGCAGGTGACTGCAAGGGTGATTTCTACGAAAACATCCCAGCAGGAACTGCTTGGAGAGGAGTTCGTWATGCTCCTTAACTGGGAGCATAAGCGTCTCACKGTGTAGGTGTTCGATGGGAGACATCAAGAGGCATCCCGTCGTAGTCCGGAGTGCTGTATTCTGACAGGTCTGTAGTTTCCTCATCTGCGTGCCACTGCATCCAGGCGACCATATAGGTGCTGCGTACTTAAGGACCGGCCGGCCGATTGCTTTGTAAGTTGCCAACAACGTTTCTTTGTCTTTTCCCGATGTGCTGCCGGCTAGCGACTTGAGGATTTTGTTGCGGCTCTGTACTTTGGCGATGATCGCGGTTGTATGCGGAGAGAAAGAGCATAGACTGTCGAAAGTTACACCTAAAATCTTAGGGTTATTAACAGTCGGGATTTTGACGCCGTCGACTGCAATGTTAAGTTCCAGTCTATACTCCTTCGTCSAGTGTGTGAATATGGTCGCTGTGGATTTGGTAGGGGAAAGTTGGAGGTTCCGTGCAGTGAGGAAACGAGAAAGG